CTGAAGTAATCCCCGTTTCAAATATAAAAAAGGTAAAAAAAAAAGAAGAAAAAAATCCAATCTTGGTTGAAATTTGTGAACTTTGTACCATTTGGGAAAGACTAATCTTCTCTTTTTGATTTTTAAGATTGTGAGTTTTACTGCAGTGGCGTTGGCTAATTGGAGTTAAAATTACTGGAAATTTAAGAACCTTTTCTTTTGGATTGGATTTCTGGTAGGAGGAGAAAGATTGGTGAAGAAAGCATATGATGGGTTGCTATTAGACGCTGGGGGTACCCTTTTGCAGCTTCCAAAGCCAGTTGAACAGACTTATGCTGAAATTGGCAAAAAATATGGTTAGTTTATTTTCCTGATGAAATATTTCCAATGTTAAACATGTGATTAGAGGTGAATTATTCAAGAAAACATTTTTTTTTGGGTTGGCATTTTCTTTCTCTTGAAGGGTTGCCTATGAATTGATTGGTGACTGAAAGCATAGCTGATTATTGGCTTGGTTTTGGTTGCAACTTTCTTGTATGTTATTTGGTGATGACAGGTCTTCAAACTACTCCAGCTGAAATAAACAGGGTTTTAAAAGAGCTTTTTCTGCTCCATGGCCTGAAAAACTGCGTTACCAGGTTTGCCACTTTTCACTGCTCAGATAATTGACAACCACTTAATTTTCAAATTTTATTGGAATAACAAGTTGATGGCTTCTTTACTTGATTGATGCAATATTCTCAACTTTTCATTTCTCCAACTATGTGTGGGTTATCTTTCGGTCATTCGCATGTGCTTCTTGTGCTTATATTAGATGAAATTAAGAAATTTATACAGCGGGGTAAACGTCCAAAAGTGAAAACACTGAAATTATGAACTAATACAGTGGGATTTTCTACTTTGTTGTGTAACTAGTTTGCAGGTATCTTGATGTAACAGAAAGTGATCTAGGGAAATCTTTTGTTGCTGTAACAACTAATTCTGACTTTACTAGTTGGTCTGCCACTTGACCGCTACCATGGACACCATCAATCGACCAAAATTATGAACCCTACTTATAAAACACAGTAATCCTTAATGCGCTGCATAATCTGATATTTGCAGCTATGACAACCTCCCCTGATAAATCCCATAGGATCACGCTGTACTTCTTGTCCAGCTATGGCTGATTCTGTGTTCCCTTGGCTGATTCAATTTCGCCCTTAACCTGGAGTCCCTGCCCCACAGAAATTTACAGAGATTTAACAAAAAGCTTAGGTTGCACAACATTTCCGAGTAAAACAATGCTTACATTTTGCTTCAGCAATTTACCATGGTGCGTATGATTCTTTGGTTTGTTTAAAGTCTAAACTTGATTTCCCTTTTTTCCCCAAGCAAGTTGCATTATCTAACCATGGATAATGGTGGACTAGAAAAATTATATTAGAGGAGGGATTGTTGTGCAGTGACCACATGTTCCTCATTATTAATTTGTTAGAGCATTCCAGGACAAATGAGTCAATATGTTTCTGCAGGTGTCGTTTAAAGGGAGTTAAAGTCTTTTTCCCAAAGTAAATGGATAATTCCTAAACCAAAAAGACATCTTTCATGCTGGCAGATATTCGTGTTTTTACATGATTGAAGATAAGTGTCCAAAAGTTAATTCATGCATCGCATATTTCAGCATGCTATACTCTTGCTTGCCATTGAAACTCTTGCTTCCATCATTTTGCTCTAAAATAAGGGGGAAAAGTAGGTGTGATTGGTCATGGCTCTGCCAATTGTTGTTGATGTCTGCCCATAGTTGAAGTAGTTACATCTATGATGGGAACAACAAAGACAAACAGGTTACCAAAAAGAAGTGTCCTTCCAGATATTTTGCTCGCTTTAGGTTTAGTTCTTAAAGTGAAGCTTGCATGTGCAAACAACCTTTTTTATTTCTCCATCATCATTTTGGCAGTAATTGCACAATATTATCCAATTAACAGAAGATGTTATGTTCCTTGATGCATATATAGTAGCTGTAGTTCCCCACTCAAAGTTTCAACTGTTGGTTTTATTGACAGATGTTACCTAACTGACAGGGTGATGCGAAGCCATTTTGGAAACTTCTTGTTTCTGAGGCCACTGGGTACAACAATGATGATTATTTTGAAGAAGTTTATGAGGTAATAATTTTCTTTGGCTTGAGCTACTTCAGTATATCCTTAAAAGATTCTTTTATTACTAAGAGATTGGAACAAGTCAAGAAAGTCAAAATAATTATCCTTAACTAACAATACATTTTTATCAGTACTATGCCAACGGTAATGCTTGGCATCTACCAGCTGGAGCCTATGAGACAATATTGGTTCTGAAAGATTCTGGAGGTTATCATCTTTGTCTGTTACTGTGTATATTGACTGTATCTCTTTTCCTTCTCTTTGTTTCTGATTTTCTTCAACATTATACAGTCAAACTGGCTGTCGTGTCAAATTTTGACACTCGCTTGAGGAAGGTATTGAAAGATCTCAATGTATTAGATCTGTAAGTACCCATGTCACACTTTCCTGTTGTTCAATATTCAAAATAACCTGGATAAGTGTGGTTTTAGCTTTCTCTGAATAATGAGGACTAGGTATTCCATGTCCTGGAATGAAAATTCTAGCCTTTAAGAAGTATGACTCAGGAGTAAATGCCTGTGTCATGTAGGATAGTGGAATGTTCTTCATACGTAGAATGACACTCGTATCATTATGGAAACCCCTGCTCACGTGGGGGAAAGTCTCAACTTAGTTTGCCTTTGGCATTTGAGGTAATTTCCAGGCATGTACGGTATGGAATGTGGATAAATTATGTACTTTATTCCACGGTTCATGATCTTTTGCTCTTTTTCAAACAGATTTGATGCTGTCGCCATATCTTCAGAGGTTGGATATGAAAAACCAGATGCACATATCTTTAAATTCTGCTCTAGGTATGTGTTCCATACCATCTTAATTCGAACAAAACATGATGGCAGACAATCTACACACACACACACACACACATATATATATATGGAATTTTCCGATCTCTCTTCTTTATCTGCCTAGTTGCCATAGATTCTGTGATGCAGCAATCCTTGCTTGACTGAGGATCTCCACATCCTTGTTTCATTTAATTCAAAAAATTCATTTGTCTAATACCGAAGCATGTGTTGAAGATGTTTGAAGTGGATATGAGGTATATGTATTGTTTGAGCTTGTTGTAGATCAGATGTCTGTGGAAGCAAGAAGAGCAGTTCATGTTGGAGATGATGAAAAGGCTGATAAAGAAGGAGCTAATGCTGTTGGGATCGACTGCTGGTTAGTTGAAGAATTATCTTAGTGCTTAGACACATCATTTGTTCACCATGACGTCACTCGTACATTTACCATATTTATTACTCAGCAAGATTCACAAAATATTTTCTCGAACTGTTATGATATGTTTATCCAATTATTGTTGTACTTTGAAATTTTGTTCTGGAAGTGAATGGTTGACATATTAGAAGTCTAACAATGCACTAATTCTAAATAAACAGGTTATGGGGCACTGATGTGAAGACATTTTCAGATATACAAAGTCGCTTGCTTCTCACAGAAACATGACTTTCCAAGTATGAAGCAGAGTTAGACCATTTTTTGATGAACCAGAAATGAGTAAAAGAAAAACCAATCTTCATTCATCCTTGTCCTCCTGACGCTGCATGAAGCAAATCTTGGTTTTTTTCTGACTGAGAGAACAACCTGTTCCACTCTCCTTTGTGTTGACAGGACTCGTGCACATTACTACTTCAGTCTAGATTCTTTCACCTTTAGAGTCCAATGGTTTTAATGTGTCAGTGCTTGCTTTTTAATTAGTTTAGATGTTTTATAAACACGTTTTCAAGCACAAGCAAGATAGCTGTGCAGTTCTTTTATTGTAAAGTTTGTAAAAGATAAGTATATATTAAGTATGAGAAATTATTTGTTTGATTAATAATGTTCTTTCAAATACGTTTGTAACTATATCTTGATGTACTTCATTTATTTATTTATTTAACATCGACTAGAAATTGTATGATGCCAACTCCAATAATCTGCAGAAAAGGGATTGATTTATTCTGCTCCAACGCTTTTGGATAGCAAACCTCTGGTAAGATTGAGAGAGACATGACGAGCTTTGGCAAGAGTCTATCCATCTTGTTTCTTACTCTCTACCACCTTTCCCAGCAGACCGTAAAGGGACACAGGGTCCGAATGGTTGTCAGGAAAATTGTTCGGGCCAATTTTGTGCAAAATGCTCAAGATGGAATTTATTTTACACACGGTATGACTCACTTTGCATAACGTGTAATATGCAACATTTATGCAACAAAATTTTGTGGGTCTTACATATAGTGTGAAAAACAAAGTATAAGATGCAATTTGAACTTTATATTTTTTTTGGCCATGAACTTTCAGGAATGTTGGTTCTTTGCCTCTCCTCCGACGGTAAAGGCACCATTACCCCAGCCGTCCATTCAAAGTAGCAGTCATGATACTCGGCTAAAAGCACAGGATAACACAAAATATGTCCAAGATGGACATGGGTGAGAGGCAGGGCGGTTGCCAGTTCAACTGCCCCTGAACAATGTAAATTTTTTTTTATATTTTGTAATTTTATGTAAATTTCTTGTACATCCTTATAATAGAGATGTGATATTCTGTTACAATTTATGTGGTTTCATATGTAATAATCATCTCTGTTGTTAAGTTTTACAAATAATTCACGTTGAGTTACACCTTGTTTGAAAAATGTTACATCGTTCCGAACAATCACTACTGACAACCGTCCAGGCCCCGCGTCCGATGCACATACCATCACTGCCACGGCCTGTCTCCCATGACACATCACACGAGTAAGCATCAATTGTAGGCTCCTGCTTTCCAGTAACGCTAATACGAAACATGGTTTATTCCATATAACTCATTAGGTTAAATTTATATCATGTCAAACAAAGTCCACGTATACTTAAGATGTAAGCATAACCATTCGGCACAAATTTATCAAATAGTAAATTCATTCATAACACGGATTTCAAATAGTACATTCCTTCAAAACAGATTTCAACATTATACATGCAATACAGCAACCGAAGAAAAGGGAAAACAGAGTACATCATTCTAAGCAATGCCATACAGTAGATTTTCACACTCGTGTGGTTAATCTTTCATGCTAAACAGATCATCCCTCATAATCTCCATCTGACCATGACAAAGTATCCTCAATTTCTTCTGAGATAAGGATTTTCAGATACTTATTTCCATAGTCTATCTGTTGTTTCTGAATATCTCGAACTACATCTCCGGCAGAGTATAGACATCGATGCACCGCAATCAATTGAAGAGTTAAGGTTTCCCATAAACAGGAAGGGAGCTCTTCCAACTCCTTGCAACCTTCCAAAACCAATTTCTCAAGACTGGGAAAATGAAGTCCTGAGCCTCTCCACGTGACCATGCTCAAGTCTTCCAATTTCAAGAACTTGAGCTCAGGGAAGAATTCCTCTTCGTCCATGCCTTCCATGTCCCATTCGTTTGCTCCATCAGCTTGTCGGAGTAATTTGAGAACCTGAAGATTTGGAAGCTTTGCTATTGTGGCAATAGTTCTAAATGAAAAGTCCTCCACAGTCAGCTTTTTAATATTCAAGGGAAGATGGAATTCAATTAGATGGGAAGCCACTTTACCTAGAACCAGCTTTAGTGATTCTAGTTGACTTAGAGAGTCCATTGCCACAATCATGTTGCTGTCATCAGAAGATTCTTCTGATTGCTGGAGACAGCATTTTAGTTCACGGATATTTGGAAACTTTCCCATCACCTTTTCCATGCTTTGCCCCACATAAAGCTTTACAGTGGAAAAAGTATCTAAACTGTATAAAATGGAGGAATATTCAATGTTGTCATTGGCCAACCTAAGATCAATCAAAGCTCCACATACATGTAGATGTCTCAATTTCTGCATTTTCATCAAAGTATCCAGAAATAACAAAAGACCAACATCAAAATAGTATGTTGTCACAAAAAGAGTTTCCAATTTTGAGAGTTTTTCTAGTGATGATGGAATGTTGTCCTTGAACCAACCTAGAACTGCCAAATACCTCAGCTCCACTAGCAAGCTCAATTCAGTCGGGAAAGCAGAACCTAGACTAATCTGTCCTAGATCCAACACTCTAAGAAGTTTCAAGTGAAAAATGAAGGACAAATGGTCTAACACTTCATGGCTCCCACCACCACGAGAAGAATATAGTAGAGAGCGCATGCGGGGACAAAATATCCTTGATTTCACAAAATGCTTTGGTTGGGAGTAAATGGATAACCGACATAGGTTGTATGGCTCCTCAACTTTATGAAGCACATCATACCCTCGCATAAACTGTAGAAAATTTTGATCTTTGGCTTTTCTCAGACAAAACACATGCAACAAATCATGAATGCGGCATGTCTTGACACCACCAATGGATCTTTGTTGCCCCACCATAACCAAACTTCTATTTATTAGAGCCATTATATAACCTTCTGCTATTTTCTCTAGATTCTCTGACTCACTCTTCTTCACAAATCCTTCAGCGATCCACAAGAATATCAACCTTTGGACAGAAATTTCTTGATCTTCGCTAAATGCTGCAAAGTAAATAAGACATGGCTTCAAATGTTCAGGTAGATGTATGTAACTGAGCTCTAATATACTCTTGCATTGTTCTGTGGCACCAATCTTCTTGTTTGAATTCAGCCTTTCTGCGACTTCTTCCCAACCAACTTGATCTAGAGTCAAAAGAATACCAGATATGATAACAATTGACAGAGGCAGTCCATTACAGTGTTTTGCTATTTGTCTGGCAAGAACATTTAGTTCTGGAGGATAGCCTTCTTCTCTAGTTAACAATCTCTTCTGTAGTAACTCCCAGCTTTCTTCTTCATCAAGTGGCCTAAGATAGTGAGGTTTACCAATAATCCCATGATGTCGACTAGTTAAAAGAATTCTGCTTCCATTGGTGTCATCTGGAAACGATATTTTCAAAGCATTCCATGCCTCGATGTCCCAAATGTCATCCAAAACTATGAGATACTTCTGTTTCCTCAAGTGGTTACACAATTTGTGAGCCAAATCATCTTCATTCATCTCAGAATATTGAGCCTTTGGGTCAATGCAAGACAACATCCCAAGCAACAAATCCTTCTTGCAATATGTTTGAGAAATACAACACCATGCAAGAATATGGAAATGCGATGTAACTGAAGGATGATGGTAAACTTTTTGTGCCAGAAAAGTCTTACCTAGCCCAGGCATGCCCACAATGGAAATGATGTCCAACTGCATTGATCCTCCAATAAGTTGATCAATAATTGCTTGCTTTGATCCTTCAGATCTACTACAGCTTTATTCATTGTTGAGATGCTAGCCTGTGATGACACCTGGAGGCATGTCCACTCAACATGCTCATTTCTGTTTCCAAAGAATTACACAGAATGAAATATCATTAACAAAACCTGGACTGCTATTAATATGATCTTATCAACTATTGTGAGATATTACCTTGAGATGACGCATTTCTCAAATGCTTGGTAGGTGTCTGGGCTTTGATGACGTTCTCATTGCCATCAACCACCAACGTCTTAGCTTTAAGAAGCTGAATTTCTGATGTGACATTATCAAATAACAACAAAGCATAAAATGATATATCTCCAACTCTTAGGGAGTCAATAACAAAATCTGCCTTGTATGCCATTTCCATAACACGGCTCCTAAGAGTTTGGAGCTCTTCATGGTGATTGCATTGCACCTGTTTTTTGCCAAGAATGATCTTAAGAATAAAAGATCATCTTGCATTGTTTGAAGTTGGAGCTGTTTGTTCTGAACGTACTGCTCCAAATTATTTTCCAAGAATAATCTTAAGAATAACAGATCTTCTTGTGCTCTTTGGGGCTGGAGCTTTTTGCCCTTGTTGTGCTGCTCCATAACACTCTCCCCAGATCGACTATATCTTCTAGATGCCCCGTGGGATGGTCCATAGTCTTCTTCAAGTATGATCTTAAGAAATCAGCTCTATCCTTTGCAAAGGAATATACGGGATCAACTTTACATCTTGCCAGTTCTTTCAATTTTTCTAGGAGAAATCAATAATCCCCAGCACAGTGGTTGTAGTGAAGTTAAACCTCACCCCTACAGGATGATTTTCCTTTACTTCTGCCTGAATAACCCTAATTCTCTCGAGTAAACAAAAGAGCTTAACATCTATCTCCTCAGCCAAAGCTTCTTGGATGTTGTTCTGATAAAGTGAGAAAATTACAACTCCAGCATCATTCACCACAGCACCAATATGATCCTTGAATCTCCCAGGCAGCCCATCATTCATCTCTTGCTGCGTTTTGAGAATGTTTCTCAAGTATTGGAGTCCCTCATATAGCATCCGCATCTGATGTTTCAGAGATACCATGAATTGGTAGGACAATTTAGTAGCAACTCCCAAAGATTACCTAGGAGAGAATCTACAAAATCCCCCATGATAAACATATCCGTCTTGGTAGACAGAGACAATGATGATGATTCAGATTCCAAGACATGAATATAAGCCAAACGGACTTGCTGATCAACAGGCTTGATCTTCTCTACTGATTCCAAAACCTCTACTTGCATTCCATCAAACACTTGATTATCATCTCTGAAAAACCAACAAACATAACAAAGATGTGCTGCGGATAGGGCCAAGACTCCACAATGCTGCATAAGTTCGCATTCATGCTTGCTTTGCAACCTGGCAAAGAGAATGAAATTTCTAAGAAATAGTAGCTTCTCATGAAGGGGTTCAAAAAGTTTTTCAAGTTTTGAGTCATAGGATTCACCCCAAACAAGAATGTCCGCAAGATTCTCTAGCAAGGATTGGAAGAATTCCATGAATTCATCTCCTGAAGTAGAACTGGATTCCAATAAGCGATCCAAGATAGAGGGATATGATTTACGTCCCGATTCATACCAGCAAACATCCCCTGGCACAAAGCCTCTTAAATTGCGCTGGATTCTAGACAGAGAAACCGATTGTAACAAGGAATCTGACATCTCGACATACAAATCATTGATTTGTTGCCGAAAATCCTTTAGAGTCTCTCGAAAATCAGAGGCAGCTCTCACCAAGTCACCAGGGGGCAACCCATCGTCTTCTAATCCAAGAATAAGAGAGTAAAACTGATGTGTCTTCTCAAAAACAGAAAATTTTAGGCTATATTGGGAGTGTGTCAATTCCATAGGACACAGAAGAAATGTTTTGACGAGCCTTAACTCCACCTTCAACTTATTGAAACCACGGTCATCCTGGCATATATCACCCTCATGCACCATGTACGAGTGTGGAAGTGACCTTAACAAGTCAACTCTCTCCTTTGCAAAATAAATTGGATCAACTTTACAGCTTGCTAGTTCCTTCACCTTTTCTAGTATAAGATCTACAAGCCCCACCTCATTCGTTGTAGTAAAGTTAAACCTTAGTGGCACAGGAAATTCATGCTCAGCTTTTTCCTTGTAACGCATAATTTCCTTCAGTAAAGAAGACATCTTTACATCTAGTGCCTCGGCCAAAGCTTCTTGAATTTGGTTCTGATAAAGAGAGAAAATAACAACCCCAGCATCACAGACTATACCTCCCAGATGACGCAAGGTGATCCAATTGTGTAGCCTATCATATGCATGACTCTGCTTCTTGAGTATGATTCTCAAGAATCGGAGTCCTTCATAGAGTATTCGCATTTGATGCTTGAGAGATACCGTGAACCAGGCAGCAGGATTTAGTATTAACTCTGTAAGATTACCTCCCAGAGAATGTAAAAAATTCCACAAGATAGACGCTTTCGTCTTGGTGAACAGATTGAGTGATGATGTAGCAGATTTTAAGACCTCGATATAAGCCAAACGGGTCCTGTCATTAACTGGGTTCATCTTCTCGATTGTATCAGAAATCTCTGAATGCATTTTATCGAACACCTTATCGTCATCTCTGGAAAACCAACAAATACAACACAGGCGAGCTGCAGATAGGGCGACAACTCCATAATGTTCCATGAGTTTGCGCTCGGGCTTGCCCTGGGACCTGACAAAGACAACGAAATCTCTAAGGAAAACAAACTTCTTATGGAGGGGGTTAACAGTTGTTCAAGCGCTGAATCACAGGCTCTACCCCACCAGAGAATATCCACAAGACTGTCTTGCAATGAGTCCAAGAATATCATCAATTCATCATCCGGAGGAGCACCGGATCGCAATAAGAAATCCAACAATTCCACGTACACTTCACTGATCTGTTGACTGAACTTCTTCAGAATTTCTCGAAAAGTAGAGGCTGGTCCAGCCAAGTCTCTGGTGAGCAATCCATCATTCTCTAATCTAACAAGAAGAGAGTAAAACTGCTGCCCATTTTCATGAACAGAATCTTCCACGCTACTGCAAGAATATCCCAGTTTCCTCGCACACAGAAGGAATGTTTTCACTAGCCTTAGCTCCACCATCAGCTTGTTCAGACCATGGTCATCCTTGCGGCAATCAACCTGGAGCACCCGAAACTTGAGCTTATCCAAGATTGCATCAGTGCAAGTCATCCAGTCCATCTGCTCTCCTCTATCATTATTCTCAGGTTTCTCTCTCATTCCTTTATCAGATTTCTTCTGATGCCGGAAGTAACTAGTGATTCTTTTCATCTCTACCTCTCGGCAATCTTGCTTGTAAGTTTTCAGATTTGTTCTCCCCTGTAGTCTGGTTTTCAACTTCTGCTTCTGTTTTATGCTAAGTTTGCGAGTAGAAAGGAAAAGAAGAGAAAAGTTAAATTGCTAGAGAAAAGAAATGAAGAGAAAGTAATATTTGAAGAGACCGTTTGGGAGTTTTGGAAAGAAGAGGGAATGTTTTTGGACATAAAATTTATTCCACAGCTTTTTAAGGATATATTGGACATTTTGTAAAAAACAAACAAGCTTCTAGCGATTTTCTCTCGTTTTGGTGCACCAAATTAGATGGAAGGGAAATTTTTTTAACTGTAGTACTATTTTCGTCCCTCTAAATCCGTTCATTTACATTCTTTTCTACCCCACTTAAAACTCACAAATGATGGAAAATTCATCAGTTCTCCTCTCTTTTCTTTTTTGCCCAAATCTCAACTCCTCAAGAGCAATGTGGTCATTTACGAAGAATTGAGTTGTAGTGAACTATCCCAGAATGGTTGATTTATGCATTTAGACAAAATGTAAAATCATTTCTTCGAAATTAGTTTGTAGAGTTCACACATGGTGTTTTAATTCATGGACATCTTATAATTTAAGTAGTACATTTTTTTGGATTAATTAAAGTCATTAACTTTTCGAGAATGGCAACCTTTCCAACCCTTAATTTATTTACAAATGGAGTAGATATATGCTTCTTGCATTTTGTACGGGTTATTGATATTTAAACTTTCTTTTCTACTCCACTTAAAGCTCACAAATGATAGAAAACTCAGATTGTGTTTGGATTGCATTTTCCGTCATTTTTCATGGAAAAATTACTGTAGTGATTTGATATATGTGAGGGAAAAAGGTGATAGGGAAATGTGATCATGGAAAACGATAATATTTTCCGACGGAAACAAGCAATCCAAACAAGGCCTGTTTTCCTTTCTTTTCTGTTCTGCCTAAATCTCAACTCCATCGGGGTAACATGGTCGGTCATTTATGAAAAGAACTGAGTTGTAGTGAACTATCCCGAAATAGTTGATTTCATGCATTTAGACAAAATGTAAAATCATTTTTTGGAACGTAAAATCATTTCTTTGGAATTATTTTATAGAGTTCACACATGGTGTTTAAATTCATGCACGTCTCATGATTTTAACTGTACACAAACTGTACAATTTTTTTTGCCCCTCTATTTCGTTTGTTCTCTCATATTCTATAGAATCAAATTTCATAGTTAGATTGATGTTTGCCAATCTTCATTTGAAACCCCTAGGGGTTAATTTTTTCACTTGGAACAATTTTGTTAAATTGGTTGAACTTGTTTTACATGAGTGTGATGCCGATGTTTGTGTAAGATGTCCATTTGAAGCTTCATGCATTGGTAGAGTAGCATGTGTCCACGTCTGAAAGAGTTTTTGTGTTTTTAATTATGCAAATTTACATTCTCTCCTTAAATTTGCTTGTGAATTTTTTTACCTCAAAAACACTCCAAATACATCTACCAAAAATTCAAAAAAAAAAAAAAAGACTATAAAAAAATCACCCCCCCCATCCCCATCCTTTCTTCCTCCACCACACACCCCTACCTCCCGTCACCCTTCCTTTCCCCCTTCCTCTCTCCACCTTCCCCCAACCACCTCCATCAATATAATAAAGGCGTAGTATAGCCCAACCACTTCCACCCCACCCCCGGCCCCGCCCCAACACCCACACTGGGCCACACACAAAACCCAAAATAAACATCATCAAATTTGGAGTCATGCCAACTTGCCTGAGGGTCAACTATAAGTAGGAAATGCATGACAGTTGATGATGATTTGTAAAACATGCTTTACTTTATATAAGCACAAATCAATAATGAATTTTTTTTTTTGCTATCTATTACCAGATAGCTATTGAAAAATTGCAAATTAAGGAAGCTTGCTATGAAAACCTTGAAATGTGAAAAACGTATAATTTGCGTGTACTTCTCGTAATCATTCATTTTAAACTGAATATTACCCTTTAACGAAAATCCTAAGTATGGACAGCTTTCGATTTTTCTAATAGGCTTCCACATCCACTGACTCGAGAACCTATGCCGTAAAGGCTATCTTTTCTTTTCTAACTGAAAATGGAATAAGCAAAAACGAACAAAAAAGAAGTTAAAATAAGAAAGCGATTTATTCATTAAACATTATTGACGTAGAAAGCATCTTATGTTTAATTAAGAGACAAAAAAAAAAAAAACACAATGGTCACCATCATTACCATAAAATATTACCCATTTGTTGTGGTGATAAAATTGAGGAATGAGGATGAAGTTTTTTGGTTGAAACGTTAAGCCTAAGAGTTGACAATCCTTTATTTTTGTCCGTCCAAATTGACAACCACTAGTTAATTCAAAAAAAAAAAAAAACACTAGTTAATCCATTGGCTAAGATGCTCTCAATTACTTAATGCTGGTGTTAACGCGTGAAAATTTCTCATATGATTCTCCGCGTTTGCATTATTCTTTATTGACAAACAATTATCTGTTCACATTATAAACACGTTTTATATTACCTTTTCCTTTTAATTTTTCAATCATCTTTTTATTTTATCACACATTACATTACAAAAAAAAATTTACAGTATTATTCTAAAAGAAATTTCCAAATAATACTAAGGGTTTGTTTGATAACATAAAAAAGTGCTGAATCTGAATTTTTTCAGACATTCAGATGTTTTGAGTGTTTGATAAATGAAAATCCATTTGCTGAATTTGTGTGTATTTTTTTCAGCACAAGATTCCTAACTGAATGCTTAATTCTGATAAGAATCAATAGAATTATTTCAATTACCTTATCTTATCTACCAAATCTACCCTTGTTTGTTAATTATGTTCAAAATTTTTATCTAATTAAACAATCTAATATTCTCTATCTAATGATTTTCTATTTCTTTTTTCTCCCTTTTGAATGATTTTCACATCTTCTCCGTACTTCTCATATAATATATTTCATCTTTTATATTAATTTGATTTAAAAATAAATATTGTCATTTTCATACCTAAGATTTTTAGCTAATTAAATCATAGGTTCTATTTCTTTTTTGGATGAAAAGATATAAGGGCAAATTTGTCAAATTTAACTTATTAAACATTCAGTTATAAATGTTTATCAAACAATATAAATAAGTTTATCATTAAAATTCAGACATTCATATATTTCTTTTCAGTGCTTAAAATTCAGCAAATTAATTGTTTCAATATTCAAATTTCAGACTTCAGAATTCAGATTCAGTTTTATCAAACGGAACTTAAGTAATTCTCTGGCCAAGCGCTCCTAATGAAGGGGTAAATGTACAAGAAACAATCTTGATCTGAAAAGAGAGTAATTCAAAACCTTAAAATGTGTTGATATATAATTCCCAGAGAAAAGCATCTTCCACCCTATTTTTTCATCAAAATATTCTATTCATATTTATTGAATTGAACTAGATCAAATTCCAATCCCATATATGACCCCAAAATGTGCTTCATCTTAAAAAATGGAAAACAAAATCTTTTAGCTTAGGATGCAGAGTGTAAACATCTAGCACAAAGTGCAGTATATCCATCATTGACATTTTCATAATCAATTTTATAAAGTAAGATATTCATTTGATATTGATACAGTGCAACATATACATGCAATACAACGAAAAATATTACACCATTCTCAGCAAAACCATACAGAAGATAGTAGCACTTGAAGCCGGTGATGTTTACCCTCACCATCCATCTGAATCTCCATCTGACTCCTCAATTTCTTCTGAGATAAGGATTTTCAGATCCTGATTTCCATAGTCTATCTGCTGTTGCTTAATCTCTCGAACTAAATCCCCGGCAGAAAAGAGGCATCCACGCAACTCAATGAATTGAAGAGTCAAAGTTTCCTGTAAACAAGAAGGAGCTCTTCCAACTCTGCACAACCTTCCATTATTAATCTCTCAAGACTGGGAAAGTGATCTCCTGATCCCAACCACTTGACAATGCTCAAATCTTTCAATTTCAAGAACTTAAGTGCTGGGAAGAATTCTTCTTCTTCCATGCCTTCCATGTCCCACTCCTTTACCCCATCAGCTTGTCGGACTAATTTAAGAGCCTCGAGATTTGGTAGCTTTCTGATTGCGGACATTATGCTCCATGAGAAGTCCTCCAACGTCAGCTTCTTAAGATTCGAGGGCAGATGATACTCGATGGGATGCGCAGTCACTTTACCCAGAAGCAGCTTTAGTGATTCTAGTTGACTCAGAAAACCCATTGCCACGACCATGTTGCTGTCACTAGTGGATTCTTCTGATGGTGATGGCAAGAGACAGCATTTTAGCTTGCGGATATTTGGAAACTTCATAATCGTCTTTTCCAAGCTTTTCCCCAGATAAAGCTTTAAAGTGGAAAAGGTATCTAAACTGCATAATCTGGAGGAGCAATGAGTGTCGTCATTGGCCAACCTAAGATCGGTCAAAGCACCACGTACATGTAGATGCCTCAATTTCTGCATTTTCACTAAAGTATCTTGCAGCAAAGAGAGACCAACACCAGAATCATGTGTTGTCACTAAAAAAGTCTCCAAATTTGAGAGTCTTTCTAGTGAGGATGGAATGTCGCCCTTGAGCCAACCTAGAATTGCCAAGAACCTCAGCTGGACGAGCAAGCTTATTTCACTCGGGAAAGCAGTACCTAGACTAATTTGTCCCAAATCCAAGACTCTTAGAAGTTTTAGGTGAAAAACGAAGGATAAAAGGTACAACACTTCACGGCTCCCAACCCCACGAGAAGCATGTAGTAGAGAGCGTATACGGGGACAAAATATGCTTGATTTCACAAAATGCTTTGGTTGAGACTGAACGGATAGTCGACGCAGGTGCTGTGACTCATCAAGTTTGAGAAATCCATCGTAACTGACAGGTCGTCAGCCTGTGCAATAATAAAATTAAACCTAATTGCCAGTTAAAAAGACCAAAACCCAATTCCAAGTACTGGAGCAGGGACTCTAGGTGTGCAATGGGTTACTTGATTCACCCTATTCCCGAAGAATTTGCTTGATCCGATATACCCGAATGGGTTGGTTATTCCTTTTCACAAATGATTATGAATTTGTAGACAGGGCAAGTAGGGTCGTATCCACAGAGACTGG